CCAACCACAGGCAAATGTCTTTCCTGAATGAGTTTTCCAAGTGCTTTGGAGTTTTTGCTTTTGACTTTTGCATTTTAAGAATCTGCACTCTGTAACAAATGGGTGGCACTTGATACCAGTGTAAAATGTTGAACTGGAAGTTTGTAGTTAGAAATGCTTCCTGAGAGTGAATAATCAGTGTTCTGGACTAAGGAGATGAAATTCAGGCTTTAGGATCAGATCTTCAAGGCCTGATTCTGCCCCTGCTCAAGTGGGGTTGTATTCACACAGGGCTGCAACACTGACTCCTGGTGTGATCATAAAGTTAAAATCACAGAATTGTAGAATGGCCTTAAAGATCATCACATTCCAACTCCCTGCTGCGACCAGGGACACCTGCCACTGTCCCAGGAGCTCCCAATGTCCAGCCTGGCCTTGGGCACTGCCAGGGATCCAGGGGCAGCCCCAGCTGCTCTGGCAATTCCATCCCAGCCCCTGCCCACCCTGCCAGGGAACAATTCCTGCCCAACATCCCATCCAGCCCTGGCCTCCTTCAGTTTAAAACCATTCCCCTTGTTCTGTCACTCTTTGTTCATATAAAAAGTCCCTCTCTCTCTTTTTTCCTTATCCCCTTTAGGTACTGCAAGGGCTTGGAGGTGTCCCTGATCCTTCTCCTGGCCAGGCTGAACAATGGCAGCTGGGCCAGCCTTTCCTCCCAGCAGAGCTGCTCCATCCCTCTGCTCATCCTGGAGCCTCCTCTGGGCTCTCTCCAGCAGCTCCAGCTGCTCCCTGGGCTGGGAATTCCAGAGCTGGACCCAGCTCTGCAGGTGGGGTCTCACCTGAGCACAGGGAAAGACTCTCCCCCAAATTCCTGCCAATCATTCTGTAGGTGCAGCCCAGGAAACGGAACAAAAGGCAAAGATAAAAGGTGTAGTATTGGAGGGAAATAGCAAGAGAGAAGGTTGGATATGCATTTACTGTAATGTACCATATGTTTTTCTTACATGTCTAAAACACTAATTCAAAATAATCAGAACTGCTCAAAAAATTCTATCCTGGCACGTGTAAATCTGGAAATGATGTGACTTTCAAGTAACTCAAAGCAGAAATATTTTTTCTCTTTATAAACATTCCCTAGTCTGAGAGAGCAATAGGGACACTTCAGGCTCAGACACCGCAGACAAGAAAAAAGAAACCTTTAGGGAAAAGCAATTCATGATAAACCAACTCTCTCCTGGGGTTTGTCTGCTCCTTCAGGTTGGCTTATATTCTTTCTAGCCCCCCTGAGTAAAATTTGTGGCATCCATAATTCAGAAGGTTTTATCTGGAGTCATCTGAGGTCTCAGTATTCATTATTTCACTGTCTTTGGAAATGCATCCACGGACATTTGGAGCTCACATTTTTGTACCAAATGAAGGAACATCCTGATTTTAAACCAGCTCTCCTGCCTCTGGCTGTCCTCAGGCAGGTGTGTCTGCGGTGTGACCGGGCAGCAGAGCGAACAGAGCTGGTCACTGCTGTGTCCCTGCTGCTGCAGCAGATTTTAATGGGATGTCAGTGTCAAACATCCAGCCCTGCCCATTTGCCACCTCAGCCTGGAGCAGCTTCCCTCTGCTCATGTCACACATCCCATGGCACACGAGATCCACGCTTCTGCAAAGCTGAGAACTTTGACATCTTCAAAATGACTGTTCTTAAATACACCAACATATTTGGCTACTCACTAAATACCTTGTAGTGCTCATTCCACGGAGCATTCCTGAGGACTGGATAGCTCTGTAGAGGATGTTTCTCTAAATAAATTTTTCATACTGGCCAAATAGGTCAGGATGAACATTTGATTCCTTCCTCTGCTGTTGAATATTTGCTCTCATACCTTCCCTGCTGGGCTTGAGCCACTTGCAGTGATGGCATTTGGGTTAAAAATGATCACCAGGGCATGGGGAGCTTGAGAACAACAGGGAGAGGAGAAAACAAAACTTGCAAGGAAAATAATTTCATTCTTGGATTCATGGATGTGCTCAGCTTTTAAGTATTCTGAGATTATATGAGGAAAATTGACTAATTCAGGCTATAAAGAAATTTTTTAAATGCTTATGGATTTTAAGGCATTAAAAAGGAATTCTTGGACAGTTCCCTGGGGCTCAGTGTAATTGTGGTGGCTTTCTATTAATTCTGTGCAAGAGTTGTAAAATAATAACTTGAGGCAAAGGGTGGTGTTATTTGGTATTCATTTCTGCTTCTGTATCAGCTCTTAGGGACTATCCTGAAAAATTTAGCAGAACATTTCTTGCTAGTTTGTACTTTAACTGTTATATTAAAATTATTTTCCCCTTCATGGTTTTTTTTTTTTAACTTTCAAGGAAAACAGATCTCAAGTACAAGGCTCTGTCATGATACCTCATCTCTTTAAAAGTTCTATGGAAAAAGGACAGAAAATAATAATAATAATGCAATTTTTTTCCCCTTACCAATGTTCCCTACAACGTGACAGAGCCTCTGAGAATGGAAATGCAAAATGTGACAAAAATATAGACTGCTATTTCTGCTGGCAAAAAAAAATATAACAGCCTTGGAACAACCTCTGTATCAATGTTCCCTGAGTCTCCCTCTTGGTGTGATGTGAATCTCAGGTGCAGGGGCTTTGATTAGTGCAGAAACATCCAGAAAACCTTTATGGAGGAGAGGGGCAGAGAGCAGTGCTTGGCAGCTTCAGCAGGGTGTTCTGACAGAGAGAAAATACAGGGCAGTGGAGGGAAGGGGATTGATTTTTCCTGGGGCTGTGCAAAGATGTGAGCAGAGGGGAGAGAGGAGAGCAGCTCTTAGGTGAAACAGGAAGGCAAGTAATAATTCTGTTATATTGGTACCATGATCAAGCCATTTCTCCAGGTCCTTGAAACCCTCTCAGGCCTTGAATACCCTTCTTCATTTTCTCAGTTCCAAGAAAAAAAGCCCTGCAGTCCAAGCCAGAGCCCCACCCTACTCCTTTCATCTCATTTTACTCTGTACCAGCTTTAAAATAAACACTGCTGTATATTCACTAAGAATTTTATTTACATCCTGCAACACTAAGATTTATTAAAAATACTTTAAAATGCCATTAAATGACCTGAAAATTTCATGAAGTATGGAAAAGTCCTCACACAAAGCAGTAGTAAACTCTTTAAGCATCGTTCTGTCCCAAAGAAGTCAAATAAAATAATTGGCAGGACAAACATGAACCATAAAGGAGCTGCATTTTTGGGCCTGTGATCCCAATCAGTTACCAAGAGCTCTGGAGGCCTCTCCTCTGACTCTTCAGAACACTCAGAGGGTCTGACTGCTTTCCCCTAACACTTTTTGGCAATATTCCTTCAGCTTGTTCCAGAAGAGTTGTGCTAAGTCCAGCAAGTACTTAATGAAAAGAGGAGATATTGTTTATCTACTTCCACCTTTGATAACAGGTTCCTCCTTTGTTCCATCCATCAAGACATAATTACACACCTATCCAACATCCAGCAGCACCAGATGGGATCTCAGGATGCTTCTAAAAATGGTACAGAGCATCCACAGAGATTAAAGGAGCAAAATTACCATTCTTACAGCAGAAGTTTCCTCTGGGGCCTGGTGTCCTTGTCCTTTTGGGCCTTGCTAAGCTGTGATGTTGTGATTTCCTCTGTTACCACCCCAGCTTGGCTGCACCAAGCATGGAGAAATACCCTAAATTATACTTTTATATGTATACTGCAGCAATATAAAATCAGAGAATCCCAGAATAGCTTGGGTTGGAAGGGAACTTAAAACTCATCCAGTGCCACCCCTGCCATGGCAGGGACACCTCCCACTGTCCCAGGCTGCTCCAAGCCCCAAACGTGGCCTTGGGCACTGCCAGGGATTCAGGGGCAGTCCCAGCTGCTCTGGGAAATAATTTCCATCCCCTCCCCACCACCCTTGGCAGGACAGTTGGAACAAGATGATCTTTAAGATCTCCCAGGACTGCTGCACCTTTTTGTGGGATTGGCTGTTTCTGATACTGAAATAATTTTTCAGTAGCTTGTAGTGGTGGCTCTGACCAGCAATGACACAGGTAAGGAGATACAGGGAATGATTTTGAAAGGTAACAAAGGGATTTGGGAAAGTAAAAAGTCAGGGAAGTGCTGCCCTAAGAACAGGGCAGCTTCTACTTCTGTACACAATCCTTCTGGCCTTCTTCACACAAGCAGAAAAAAGTAATTGAAAAGAAATTTCTGATACAAACAAGTTGTGCATATCTGTGTTTCTGTCTTTCTGTAGTCTCTGGTTAAGCAGAGTGAAATATTTCTCCCTTTTGAGTCAGTTCATTTAAGCATTCACAGGCTTTGGAGTTGATAAATTTTGGGTAAGAGGCAGTGGTCTATCAGAACTTCACCCTAAATTGTGTCCAGATTTTGTCCACAAATAAATTGTCCAGCCTGAGTTTCCCAGCTACAAAAGCTTACAGCCACTACTCCACTACCTAGATCCCAAAATATGGCAAAAATACAAACTGTTTCTTGTTGGGCACACATTGAAGACAACACAAACCTCTCACAAACCAAGTGAAAGCTTTTCAGATACATCTCTGGGCATAATTCCTGTTGGATGAATGTGGCACAGGCAACAATCCTGAATAATTGCACTGGATTTAGAGTGACCTTCTGTAAGCTTGTAAAGGAACACATGAATCGAGTAAATTAGGCACTTATTAAATCCACAATTAGTTACATTCTATTTTAAAAAAAAACCCCTCAGGCTCACAAAGTCCAACATGGTTCTTTGCTGGATTTAAGCCCAAATAGATGAGATTTAAGCAGTGCATGAAGAAAATAGCAGTCCTTGTTCTGGGGATTCCTATTTTCTTTTGGTTTTTTCAGGAGTGGAATGATTTATGATGAATTTGGGAGTGAAGACAGGGCTGAATGAGATCCCTGGATACAAGCACTGCGTTCTGGGTTTGTGGCTTTATGAGAGGGAGGGCGACAGATGGAAAAAGAAAGTGGTTGAACTTCCTATTTGTACTCACTCATCGACTCTGTCAATTTGGCCATCTCTGTTTCTCTTTGGGGCTTCTCCTGGGGGAACAGACAAAATGAAAAACAAATATATATATGTAATATAGAAATAGAAATACACCTGAGTGCAAGTGGCAATGTGAGGGGAGGACATTCATCCATTATATAGTTCTATATTATTTAGGGATTCAACTTCACTCCTAAATAGCCTGAACCTTTGTAGACTTTTTTTTTTACTTCCTTCTAATTTCTTCATTTTTCCTACCATGAAGTGTGAAGCTTGTATTTATCTGTGTGTATCTAGCTGGGGAAATTGAAATTATTCAATCAAAGTGATAACGGAGGAGGAAACCCTCCTCTATTTTTCACTCTCTGCTAAAATACTCAAGTGTGTTAGGCCTTCCTGACAAAAGAGCAACCCACAAACCACTTACACTGCAGGAAAAAAGCACTTACTTGGAAATAAATGGATTTTATATGGGAGCTGGAGTGTGTGGTGTGGCACTGGGCCGATGCTGAGATGAACTGAGATATTTGAGGGACTCCCAATGAAACCTGCTGGTCTTTGTCTCTTGTGCTTTGTATTATTATTTTTTATTTTTTTTTTCATTTCAGACACTTGTAGCTGGTGTAGCCAACACAGAGGCTTGGTCAGTCAAGAGCCCTTGAATTTGGTGAAAATCCAATATCCCATAGCTCAACCAGAGCAGTGGGGACTGGGCCCAATCTCCTGAACTCAGAGACAAAATCTGGGCTGAATGAGAACTGCAAAACCCTTGAAACTCCAATTAAGTGGTTTTGAGAGGATGTGGTGGGGCTGTTGTGCCCTCTCTGATCCACCTGGTGACTGAGCCCCACCTCCCCACCCCTCCACCTGTGTCAAGGCTGAGAGAATGACTCTCCTGAGCCATGGGTGAGCAGATCTCAGCTCTTTTTTCCTCAAAAAACCTCAGTAAGGGAGAGAATTTCCACAAAAAATATGACTTTAATGGGCAGTATTCTCAAACAGAGGCTCCTTATCCCAGCCCTGGGACAAGGTGCAGGTTTTTGGGAAAAGTGACCTTCAGTAGCTGCTGGAATGGCTGGGGACAGGAGTCAGCATGGTGACATCTGTCTCTGACTGTGCTAAAAACAGCTCTGGGGAAAAGCACAGGCTGAGAATTGTCCCTGCCAGGTGTTATTTGGCAGAAAAATGTGGTTTTCCAAGGCCTTTTGGGTGTGACATGAGCAGACCCGGGCTGTTCAAGGGATAACCCCCTGCTCTATCTCAGACAGGATCATTTCCTAACTCCAGAGGAGCTGAACTCTGTCCACCTCTATCTTAGAATCCCAGAGTCCCTGAGGTTGGAAAAGCTCTCCAAGGTCATCAAGTCCAACCTGTGACCCATCCCCACCTTGTCCCCGGCCCAGAGCCCTGAGTGCCACGTCCAGGTGACACCTGCAGGGATGGGCACTGCAAAGCTCCCTGGGCAGCCCCTGCCAAGGCCTGAGCTCCCTTTCCATGGGCAAATTCCTGCTGCTGCCCACCCTGAGCCTCCCCTGGCCCAGCCTGAGGCCTGAGCTCTCCTCCTGTCCCTGTTCCCTGGCAGCAGAGCCCGACCCCCCCGGCTGTCCCTTCCTGCCAGGGACTTGTGCAGAGCCACAAGGGCCCCCTGAGCCTCCTTTGCTCCAGGCTCAGCCCCTTTCCCAGCTCCCTCAGCCCCTCCTGGGGCTCCAGACCCTTCCCAGCTCCCTCAGCTTCCTCTCACAGCCTCTCCTGTCTCCTAAGTACCTTATCCCAGTCCTGGCTTTTATCTGGTACAAAAACCTAAAGAAATATATTCTATACCAAGCAAGCCACTACTTGCACTTCAAAAAGTTGGACTTCTACTGTAAAAAAAAAAAAAAAAAAGCTCAAATGTCACAGTTATTGGAACTATTGGCATTCATGAAACAAGCAGCTAATGCTTTAGAACTGTATTCATTCACTCCTGAGAGCATTTTATATGAAAAGAAAGGTTTAAGGTTATGTCCTGGATCTGAGTGAGGACAATGCCCTAAGCCATGCTAATAGTGTAGCATCCAGCATCAGATTCATGCTTTGTTATGAAAGGGAAAAAAGGAAGGAAGGAAGAAAGAAGCAGCACAAGAGTGAAATTTTTTTTACAAAAAATATAAGGTCCTCTATGAAAGTTTTTTTTGCATGGCATTAATCATCAAAGGAAAGCACAGAACTCTGAAAACCATCAGGAATTTGTGTCAGTGGAGATTTATAATGTGACCTTAAAACACCTTCTTTTGCTACAGAATTCAGACTTTATCAGGAGTGAACAGTTGGGAGAGATCAATTCGAGCCCTGGAGACAGAGGGCTGGATTTATTAGACTAATAACTAATTGATATTAAATATTATTACTTTGTTCTTGCTTATTATTAAATACATTTTACTAGTGATGAAGTCTCATGACAAAGGCGGGTTGAATCACATTTCATTTTAAAGTGAAAGCATTAAATATAATATCTAAGGACAAATTTAGAAGTTTTTGAGTTTATTTTACTTTTCTTAAAAGAAATGCCCAGGACTGCTGAAGTTCTGGTCTTCCTTCTTTAGTATATAAAAGTATGTTTGTATGCATATAATATATGAATATTATTTTTTAAAAAAAAAATTACATCTAATTTCCAGATATTTTTACTGAAAAAATTAACCTTTGGTACTGTTACCAATGAACTTGACACTCTATGAAATTATTATATAAAATTTTGTCCTTTTCCCTTCCTATATGGATCATGAGGATGTGCACACACAAACCCATGAGGGTCTGGAAATTAGGAAAATTTTTCCACTCATCTGTTTCTTCAAAATGGAATATTTTAAGGGAGCCAGAACACCTCTAAGAAATTTGCTTTTTGATTGCAGATAAAGAAGGAATTCCATCCTCTCTGACAGAATGAGTTCTAGCAGATTAACTTGGGGGAGAATCAAACATTAAAACATACTTTTGTTCCTGATTTTAGCAGATGTGAGTTTGAACATGACAGCAGAGTGAGATTTGCTGCCTTCAAAAAAAAAAAAATCAAAATCCAAACCACAAAACAACACAACAGAAAAAGCAAACAACAAAATGAAACAAGATAAAAAAAGGCAAACAACACAGTGTTTCATTTCAGGACAGGAGTTGCCTTTAAGGGCTGCCTGTGGTTGTATTTCCTCTGGAGATTACCTGGGTAAACAAGAATTGCCACCTCAGAAAACACATCAAGAAAAGCAGGACTCAATTTTTATCTCTCCTAACACAGTGATGCTCATATTTCAGGTTTTTTCATAGCTCTGTAGTCAGCATGGAGTGATTTCTGCAGGGAATTTTGAATCCATGGGCTGCCAGTGCCTGCTCTGAGGTGAAGAACCCAAATCTTCCACAAACCCAGAGGAGCAGCAGAGCCAGACTCTGCTCTTGTTGTGTGTGGATGTCTTACATGGTTACTGACTTCCTGCATGCCTAAAAAGCAGCAAATTCTGCTTTTCATACTTGAAATGACGTGCACTTTCCAAAGTGCCAGCAATAGGAGATCTTATGGTGCAAGGAGGGATGTGTGAAATTTAAATTAAGTAAAGCATGATAATTCCAACTAGCAAAAAAGGCCATTTAAAATGCTGCTTTGTGCTTTTTGCATTGTTTGTGAGGTCTTTCATTCAACTGAGAGTGTAAGAAAGAAGATGCAAACTGTCATTTTCTAATGGAGTTGTTTTTTTATTTAAAGCTATTTCCTTTCTATCAACTTCCTTCAGACTAAAGAGTGGTAGCCCAGTCCTACAATATCTGAAGTTGTGATGTCCTGCCTTGCACCAAATTTAATCTCAAATTATCGTGCTGTTGCAACATTTAAGGGTTTAAAGGGGCAACACAGAAAGTGTGGCCTTCACATCACTCTTTCCCTTCTCAGCCAAAGAAAATCAGTCACTTTTGCCTAAAACTCTCCTTGTTTCACATCCTGTGCTGCAGAGTCTGCCATGGTTCTGTCAGAGGGGCACAAGAAGACATCAGGAGTGCCAACCATGCAGCACAAAAATAACATTTTCAATGTCAAGCAGGAGAAGATTGAATCAAATTTCAGATGGGAATCAAAACATTGCATTCCTAGGTCACTTGTCTCATAATGGAATATTCTTGGACAAGGCTGAACTCCTTGTGATTTTTCTAATGGAAGGACAAGGGCACATCCTGAAACTCCCTCTCCAGTGGCTGTTGGCTTCAGCTGACTCTAATTAATGAGATCATTATATCTATTTTCACAGGGTCACAGGATGGGTCAGTCTGGAAGGAACCACGGTGGGTCAGTGGTGCCAGCTCCCTGCTCCAGCAGGGCCATCCCAGAGCAGCGGGCACAGGGCTGTGTCCAGAGGGCTCTGCAATATCCCCAGGAGGAGACTCCAGCCCCTCTCTGCTCTCTGCTCAGGGCTGGGCACTGCCCAGGGCACAAGTTGTGCCTCCTGTGCAGGGGGAATTGCTGGGCTCAGCCCCTGCCCGTGGCTCTGGTGCCATTGCTGGGCCTGGAGCAGAGCCTGGGCCTGCTCTGCCCCTCCTGCACCCAGGGACAGCCAGGGATGGACAGGGATGGACAGGGATGGACAGGGATGGACAGGGATGGACAGGGACGGACAGGGACAGCCTGGGACACCCAGGGACACCCCAGGGACACCCAGGGACACCCAGGGACACCCCAGGGCTGAGGCCCCTCTCAGCTGGGGCTCCTCTCCAGGCTGAGCAGCCCCAGCTCCCTCAGCCTTTCCTGGGCACGGAGATGCTCCAGGCCCTTCCTCAGCTCCAGGAGCTCCTGTCCCTGCTGTGCTGAGGAGCCAGGGCTGGACACAGCAGCCCAGAGGTGCCTCCAGGGCTGGGCACAGGGGCAGCATCACCCCTGACCTGCTGGGAATGCTCATCCTGATGTCCCCCAGGATCCCTTTGGTCTTCCTGCCCCAGGACTCTGCTCGGTGTCCCCCAGGTCCTTCCCCAGCAGGTCACCCCCAGCCTGTGCTGCTGCCTGGGGTTATTCTCCCCCAGGTGAAGGACCAGACTTTGCC